TCCAGCTTTCTGTGGAGTTCCCAGGTGAGTTATCCCAGGCGAATTCCTTTCTTCCTTTATTCCCTAAGCAAACAGTCAGCTGTAAACACTTTGCAGGCCCTGGGTATGCAAAGATCCGTGAGATAAATACCTGCTCCCTTAGACGTCACAGTGTAACTAGTTATGAAATAAACCATGTGGTGTGATCATCTCTGATGATAGAGACGTGAGAAATGTGTCCCAGGTGGAAGCTACTGAGATTTAGACAACCAATTTTGTCCAGAGGGAAACAGACAAAATTGAAGAATGTATTGGAGACCATCAGACAGGCACAGTGAAGAAGGTGACTCCTGTCGTCCCAGGCTCAGGCAGGCACAGAGCCTCATGGGGGTTGAGGGGGCACAGGTTCAGCTCATAGATGGCCCACTCCACAGCTCTGGGCCTGTGAGGCAGAGCCCGGTGGCTGGAGGGCGTGGCAGGAGAAAGCCACTCAGTTCTTGAACATCAAGGAAGAAGAGCGACCTTGGCCTTCTTTTTGAAAGCACAAAATAATCATCTAGAACCTTTTATCAACAAGAACTAATATTGTTTAGCAAGTATCCTAATAAGTTTCCCTCCAGGATATTTGCACTCTGCTTGAATGGGCTCATGCTGTCCCCAGAACATGCTATAGGGACATTCAAATGACTGTGTTCTAAAATACCCTTTAGGCCTCCTTCTTCCTTTTTCTACACATCCTTGAATCCAATTCGGCCTTCCCCAGGTACCCCATTCTCAGCGGTGTCTCCCTATCTGGAGAACTTGAAACCTGCCCCACGCCAGCTCCTGCCATCCCTGGTGCTGATTCTAGGAAGGTTGGGTGGGGATCCCCACATCGGCATGGAACCCCATGGGAAATGTGCCTGTCGTCCACTATTGGTCCAGCTGCTTCCACCGCCTGCTTCTGCCTCGCTGAGCCCTGACATCCATCAGCACGGATGTCTGTGAGTGAGGCGCTCCATGTATTGCCTTCCATTTGATTCACTGAAGTATGAGTGTATGTGAACAAGGAAGATGACGAAACATTGTATCTAGAACATCCAAAAAAAAAAAAATCAACCACCTGAAAATCAAGGTGAAATTTCATAAAATGTAATATGGATATTATCTCTCTCTTGATGTCCTGGAAACAGCTAGATAGAAGAGTCAAAAGACCTAAAAAGGACTGCCAATCGCTATGTGACTTTGGATGGGTCAGTGCCTATTCAGCCACCGTGGTGCATTCGCGCAAGCACATTGGTAGTGACGTCAGTGAGAACTCAGTTAAAGGTGAACATGAGGTTGAGAGTAAGAGCGGTTCCTTAGTTGATGCAGGTGGCTCTGGATAATTTAATAAAACTCTAGGCAATGGGGCATCAGTAAAGCTCCCACAACCACACAGAGCCATTTTTGTATGTGTGATGAACCTGTGGATATTCTGTATAAACTGTAGAGTGCTCATAAAAAGAAAAGCTTTGTGTGGTTTAAGATGTTGACAGCATGATTGCCTGTCGGGTCATAACCCCATGTGGTCTGTCTGCTCCAACATAGTAGCAAAGCAGCATGATCTGTTTTCTAAACAGAAGGCTCAGTCCATCTCCTGAGCCTCAGGCCAGAGCATAGGATGCAGACCTGAAGCCCCAAAGCAGGGATGGAGCAGAGAGGGAGGCAAGACAGGAGTGAGAACCAAGCGGATTGGTCGTCTGCCCAAAGCTGAGTGGGGCCTCTAAAGCAGAAGCCTTCAAGTTCACTGTCCATCTCTGAGGATGCTACTGACAGCACTGCCCACCCCTGCATCCTGCCACATGCCCAGCAATAATCTTGGCACATCCTGTTCCCCCCTAAGCCCAGAACTCTTCATTTTTATTGACACCAACACGGGTAGCTACCACACTGGGGCACTGTACATATAATATCCCACCAGAGCCTCTCGACAGATCCATTTCACTGACGGAACTGCTGAGATCCTAGGGAAGTCACAGGATATGACTGGACACACGCTGCAGGGCAGTAGAGCCAGGAGCAGTGCAGGGTGCTTTCTGTGCATCTCCCGACATTTTTGCCATACCTCTGGCTTGTCCAGCAAGAGGGTGAGGTTTGTGTTTAGCACCAAAGACCTGGTGACACAGGCACAGCCAGTTCTTCTCATGGAGGTCTCAGCCTCAAGTAAGAGCTCAGATGCAGAGTCAGTGTTGCTGGGTAATGACCAGGTCTCTGCCAACTGTATGACCTGGAGCAGGTCACTGCCCTCTATTCTCAATTGAAGAATGAGGCAGGGGGCAAAGGGATAGCATGGGACCCTCAGACTTCTCACAGACCATGCTACTCCCATCCGCAGGATGTCCAGGGCCTGGCCTGCTCGGGCCCACACCAGACCCACACAGCTTAGCCTGTAGAATCCAGGCACTCTGTTCCATCTCAAGGTCTGCCTGTCCCCTCCCCACACTCCATATCTGAGCACCTGTACCCCTTCCCTCCCCATGCCACGTGTGCCCTCTGCCTTCACCTCCCAGTTCCTCCTCGTTCCCTTTCCTGGTGTGGTTGACTCAGCCTGGCTGCCTGGAGTTTGGTCCTTTCTGGTTGGTCCTAGGACTTCCCTCTCCTGAACTGTCCCCAGCGTGGGGCAGCAGGATGGTAGGATCTAGGCAAGGCAGGAGAACTGGAAAGAACGTGAGGAAGTCTCACTCGATCCAGGCAGAGCTTCCAAGAGAACTGGCCCGGGAGCCTTTGCCTTTCTCCAGACTGCCCTCAAGGGCATGCCAATGGGCAGAGCCGAGCAGGGAGCTGTGGCCAGCACCCATCCACATGGGATCAGTGCCTGTTCTCGTGGACCAGGCCTGAGGATCCCTGTTATCAAGTATTTTGAATCACTGTCACTTCCAACCCCTCAGAGCCAGAGTAGACAGATCTGAAACCAAACCCCCACAACTTTCCTGCAACCCCTGCTCGAACACCCCTGCTATCCAACCACAGAAGAATCAACAGAAGCAGCCAGGGTCAGGTGTGCTGAGCAAGAGACCACACTTTATTAGGGATGCTTCCAGGGGAACCTGGTTGCACATGATGCCAAAAGCACAGTTAAGACCAGACGCACAACACAAGAAGAATTTTGGTAGAAAAGCCTGCTAAGCGGAGTAGCCCTCCATCTAGGGGACTAAGGGGTCATTGAGCAGCCAGAGGGGGCTTCCTGGGGGGGGCCGAGCCTGATCACAGCGGGCGGGGCAGCACGTGCTCCCTGGAGGAGATGACTTTCCCATCCCTTATCTCCTCGGTGATGGTGCGGATCTGGGTGCTGATCTGAGGACCCACTGGGGTGCAGGGTATGGTTGGGGCGCAGGGAGCACAAGAAACTCTCATGGCAGGCTTGCAATCCGTGGCACAAGGGTGAGCAGGAAGCCTGTGGAAATAACATCATGCAGGATTCACTTGATATTGGGGCATTGGGCTGAGAATGACAGGGGATCAAGTGAGATGGGTGGGTAATAACAAAGAAAAGTCAGACTACTTCAGTGCCTCTGAAATCCCTGAGAGTGGAAAGACAACTGCAGAAGAGACTAGAAACTCCCAAGCAAAAACAATGGTTCAAGAAGCAGGGTGTGT